GACATGCCTGTTGCAGCCAGGACTGTAGAGAGGTGCATATCAGACATGGCTGTAAATATAAGAGAACAGCAAACTGTTGCATTAACAAATGCAATTGCGTTCAGTATTGCTGCTGACGAGTGTTGATATAAATAACATACAACGTTTGGCTAGTGTCGCCAGGTACAGTGACATGGAGGTACACGAGGAGCTGTGCTGCCTAAGACCTATGCATGGTACTACCAAGGAAGATGACATTGTTAAAACGTTCATTGATCATTTTGAGGAGAGAGGGGTTGATATTAAAAAAAATATATTTGCAGTTACAATGGATGGCGCTCTTGTTATTATAGGAAAACACAGGGGATTTGCCAAGCTAATTGAGGAAAATATCGGGCACCCCATCCTGAAGTTACAGCATTATTCATCAAGAAAATCTATGTGCCAGAGTTTTAAACTCTCATCTCAATAAAGTAATGGCCAATGAGACAAAAATTTTGAATTTCTGGGTTGCACGATCTGCTCTTACACACAGACAATTCCAGTATTTTCTTGATGAGATGAATAGTGCATATGGAGACATACCCCTTTACTCCAGTGTTAGGTGGTTAAGTTGTGGGAAGGTTTTAGAACGGTTAGTGGAATGCTTTGATGAAATCGGGATCTTTCTGAAAGGAAATGGCCAAAAACACCCTGAAGGAAGATGACCAATGGGTAGTGAAACTTATATTTCCCTCAGACATTACCAACCACCTCAGTAACCTTAATCTTCACCTGCAGGGTGCAGGACAAACAGTTGTGAATCAGTATGACACTTGGAAGGAGTGGTCAGCACAACATCCTGTGAATGTTACAGAGATTACAGTGTATACATGCAAGAGCTGAAGTCAGAGTTCTCTGTCAGATTTTAAGATTTCCAGCACATTGGCCCAATGTTTTCTTTTTTAATTAAACCTGAAAAATTTTAGGAGTGACTTGGACTTGTCTTTATTTGATTAGATGGAAATTGGAGACCTGGAGATGCAGCTAATTGATTTTAAGTCGTCTTCATTATGGGTAGTAAAGTTCACGGAACTACGTAGATCACTTGAAACGACTGCAAGTGATCATGAGGCCTCCATCCTAAGTTGCTGGGCATCCCTACCAGAGAAATTTGATTGCATGAAGAAGGTTGCCTTCATACAGCTTTCAACCTTTGGATATTTTCACACATGAAGAATATCCCCAATTCTCATCACAGCCAACTTACAACTGATCATTCAGAGGGGTGTGTGCAACTTAAGGTGTCCAGATATACTTCCAACATAGCAACACTGAGCAAGGGGTAGCAGGGACAGGGATCACACTAAAATGGTGAGAGCATTTTATAGTATTTGATTATATATCTTACCATTCATCTGTAATTGTGTGTATTTCAAATATGTATGAAAGCATTATTTATCAATAGTATATACATGTCAATAATTTGCACATTGAAAATTATTGTTGGCACGCAGGGCAGTAGAAATGTTAAAAATAGGCACAGTCTGTTCAAAAGGTTGCTGGCCCCTGCAGTAAGGTATTCTAAGAAAAGGACAAGGATTTACAATTTTAGTAATTAGGTTAAATTAGGTTAGGTAGCACAGGGTGTGGTAAAAATTTGGATACTGTCAACCTTGGACTCTATAAGTGACTTGTATAATACAGGTATGGAGATGGAGTAAAAATACTTTTTCTATAATGTTTTGTTCTTAGAAATTTATAATTTTCGTTTTTTTTTTTTTTACTTTTCAATTTCACTTAAAAATGCAATTTTGATGACACAAAGTGGGCAGGGCTTTGAATTAGTGAGAAATTGTGAGGTAAAAATGCACAAAAAAATGAAGAAACCAAACCTAATGAAACCTAATTAAGGTACCAAGCTAGGAAACTTTTCAATAGAAGAAAAGTTCTTCATTTTATCAAGAACATATCAAAAATAGTGTAGGAAATAATATTTTGCCAAACACAAAGACCATCGAACACAACCTAATAACTCTCAAATATCAGTATAGGTATAAGTGTTTAACCGATCGCAACTAGATTAACCCGTAGGCCCTGACCTAAATCAAAAGACAAAAGAAGAAAAACAAAAATAAAAGAAACCCCCCAAAAAATAAATTGAAGTAAAAAAAATTACAAATACAGGGGGTATAAATTTCCAATGAAAACACTATAAAGGGGTCTTCTCTTTTCTCTATCACCCTATATACAAGTCAATATACTGTATATAGTGCTGTGATTGACCTTTTCTGAATCTTAACAAGTGTGTTAATATTTCAGTTCATAAGGAAAGGCAAGTTGCTGGTAAGCATTCCACTGCTTACCGATTGGTTGGTCACTGGGAAGCATTTGTCAACAGTTGAAACAAAAACATGGTGTCGTTTGATGGTTGATAAGCAGAGCTGTAAAGTAACTAAATAAATTTATTGAAATACTGTACTGTATTGTACTAAAGTAAAATTTTTGGGCATTTACTTTTTAAAAAATACTCTAATATTTTTAGTTCTGTACTTTAACTTAAGTATGGTTTTCTAATACTTTTACTCCAATACAATTGAAAAACAAGATTCGTTACTCGTTACATGCAAACTAATAATTTTTTTTTTTTTTTTTATTGGGCACTCCCCTACATCCTTGTGTAAGGTGAAGCGCAGAAGCATTTACAGTGCCCAACGGGGAAGCATGCTAAGTTCATGCTTGCCTTTATGTCTCATGAGTTAAGGCCGTAGAAGCCTGAAGAGTCGATGTCATCAAGTTATTGGAAGCTCCAACAACTTGTCCCTGAATACGAATTCGCAACTTTCGATTTACACCAGGTACCTACTTTACTGCTAGGTGAACAGGGACTAATGGGGGCTAGGAAGTATGTCCAAACAACTTCCACCGGCCCGAGAATCGAACCCGTGACATCTCACTTGCGAAGGCAAGAGCGGTACCACTCTACCACCAGCACCCCCCAAGCTAACAATAGAGTATACTTTTAAATAATTAATTATTAACCATAGTAAAAGAGTTGTGTGAGTGGAACCGTGAAGGGTATGGTATGGGTGAGGGGAGACACCACACTGTCACATACCTAGAGGTCTCATGAGGTGAGATGACATCAGGTGGCAGTGGCCATGACAACGGACTTTCCCCTTGATCTTCTTGTGTCCAGAGCACCTTGACCACCCTCCTCACCTATCCTACCCTATTATCCCCCTCCCCCATTAAATCCCCTCTCTTCTCTCCCACCTTTCCTTCAGGGACTTGGTCTTCCCGTTAACATCAGTTGTGTCTTTGCATATACCTGTACCTAAAATGAATTTCAAAGAGGCTGTGACTCTATAATGTTTTACATAATTCCATCTTAGATATAAAGCCTGCATCTATACATCTGCGTGAAACTTAGTATATTTAAAATTCTGCTTAAATAATTAAGTACCCCCCCCCCTCCTGCACCTGCCAAATGTTACGTGGTGCAAAAAATTAATCCACTCATCAATTAGAATCGAAAAGTGACGTCACCACAGCTACATCCCAATTAGAGGGACAGTTCACGGCGAGTCTTAGTCAGACTCCGTCACTATGGAGGCAACAATCATTCACAAACTCCTGAGGTTTTTCCCGACATTATGTGACTTATCTCTCAAGCTTAACACCCTACTCCCTGTATCTGTTGCTTGTGAGCATATGTTTAGTCATGCTGGGCTTATTTATTTTCGACAAAAATGAAGGACAGATTCGCTTAAAACACACCATCATACACTGGAAAAACATATTGGTCAACCCCTAGGGACTCATGTCCTTAAGTAAAAATTTGCCTTCAGGTTTTGGCATTTTTTGACCTTCCACTTTTTTTTTTTTCAATACCTCAACAGCCGCTCATCTCCAACAGCAATGGGGGTCACATTAGTATTTAACAAGATGATTTAACTATAAAAACCCATTTCAAAAGTCGATTAGGTGTTGACAACCTCTAAATATTTACCGTAAGTTTGCCCACAGCAGATGTTATGTTAGGTTAGGTTAGATTAATTTATGGTTAGGTTAAGGTTAGGTTAAGATAGGTTAAGTGAGGGTTAGGTTGTTAGGTTAATTTATGGTTTGGTTAAGGTTAGGTTAGGTTAAGTTATGTTAGGGCAGGTTAAGTTAGGTTAGGTTAATTTATGGTCAGGTTAAGGTTTGGTTAATTTATGGTTAGGTTAGGTGAGGTTATGTTAGGTTTAGTTTAGGTTAACTTCAAATTTTAAATAAAAACTTTTTAACACATTTGCCATAACTACGAGTGTCTACTATAAAAACAAAGTGAGATTGCAGCATTTTTAAATTCGTTTCTTCTTAATAATCAGGGTCAATTTATTGTAACACAACGGTCTTTATTTTGATATTAAAAATAGGTTTTTCCTATGTATTTTGATGAGTTTCGAATGAATTTTATTCATTTCCACCGAAAATCATTTTTTTTAGATAACCCCTCCCCCTCCTTCCCAACAATCATAACAGAAAAACATTGATTTTTTTAGAATAAATAATAAATTATATTACCAACCAAGAAAACCTAACCTAACCAGGAGGCTCTGGAGCGATGCATCAGCAGGGGGTCAGACCACCTCAGCCAGAAGTAAACAAATCATGGCAACACTTGACAGCGAAAGTAATAATCGTGAAAAATTTAAATCTAAGTTATTCTTAATTTCCGGTGGAAATATCAAAGAAGATAAAGTCTTACAATTGTGTAGACATTATGATATATATATATATATATATATATATATATATATATATATATATATATATATATATATATATATATATATATATATATATATATATATATATATATATATATATATATTTAATCCAGAAATAAAGACCAGTGTGATACTATAAATTCACCAAGATCAGCGCTTGTGAAGTCGTAATTAATGTAACTAAGCATTTGCCCAAGAAAAATGTATCGAGGTTGAAGTAATCAACATACAAAACTGTCTACAAACAGCCTCCAACTGCATAATTACCGTGCAGCTGACGGTCACGAGTCGTATAATAGACGAACCAGTTCTTGTGAACCAATACCAATGTCAAGGTAATTCAGGGTGTTATCTCGGCGAATATTAATTTTGTACTGCAGAGCTAATACAACGATTTGGATCAAGACATCACGTGCAAGTCAGTCAGCTGATAGCCTAATACCAAGGCTTATCATAAGGAATTTGATGATAAAGGAAATCGAGCTCCCTTATAAATTCTTTTTGGTCCCGACACGGGCGTCATCTACTGTATTGAGATTTTTTTTAACGTTAACTCCAAACAAAGACTATATTTAGCACCGATTTTTTACTTGCTCTACAATTAATAATCACAGGGAAGGCCCGAAGTGGTTGTGATTAGCGATAAGGGGAGGGGGAGGGATGTTTGTTTCACCAACTCGCCACTGAGCCCATCACATTTGACCAACGAATGAGGATCAAATAAAATGACCAAGCGAACTACAAAATTTTCTTTGTTGAACGTTTAATTATTAGACATAAGCCTAGAAATTTGATGGATAAAGTAAAATCTTTATTCAGGCAGAAAGAAATAACGAAAACAATATATATATTCAATTTCAATTGTTTATTCCTTGATCGAGGAAGCGGGATCCTAGTGCTGTCACTAGGTACCCCTGTACAATGACACCAGAAGCATCTGGCAAGTGTGACAAGTATATACAGTATAAATATTATAAAGGGGCTTACTAAAGCCTAAGGAAGGAAGGGTATTCCTTTAACACATAATCAATGTTATTTACATAATATCTGGCCAGTATGAGGAGGAACATCGTGTCTCCGTCAGGGGGTCGTGGAATGGTGGTCCAGCAGGCGTCACGGAAGCGTTGTGTGTGGGGACTGTAGGGTACGGGTTGTTTGGTTCACACTCAGGATGGGATGGAGAAAGGAAACTCACAATGTGCTCTCTGTATACATGTTGTATTGGATGTACAGTGCAGCTTGGTGCTGGGAAGTGGCAGCGTGGTTACAAGCGTGATGTAGAGAGAGCTGGTTGGTGAGGATGTTCAGAGGAGTACCAGCTTGTGGGTCGCCATGCTCGCCGGCGGGAGCGAGGGCCGCCAGGCAGGAGGAGGAGGAGGAGGTGTTGCTTGCTGGTTGGTGTAGGTAGAAAAGAGAGAGTGGTCACCACGAGGTCAGGTCTTATATAGCGGAGGTAGGCGTGGCTTAATAGTTGACCTCCGTCATGTAAGGCGGCGCTGGTTGACCTAGACCACGAGGCATACAGTGGGGAATTCGCGGGGTCGGCTACTCAGCGACAAGCGTTTGTAGGGGAGGAATCCACTACAGGACATCTTAGGAGGTAGTGGATAAGGGTGCAACTGTCGGGTCTTCTACATAATGCACAAGAGCGATGCTCAGGGGATGCGGGGATACCAATCTCCCAAGCAAATTCATACCCAATGATGATACGGGCAGCAATCACTTCCCTTTTCCGCGACCCTTTCCCATAGACATACGAGAGGTCAGGAAGTTTACGGAGGACACTGTACCAGGTGGGCGGGGAGTCCAGGGGGATGGCTGCTTCCCGAGCTTCTCTCTGTTTGCGGCGAATTTGGGTCCTAATCTGTAAGTGTTCGAGGAACAACGTAGTCAGGTGTGGCCTTGTTGCAGCCAGTCTTGGCAAGGCCATCTGCTGCCTCATTCCCCAAGATACCGACATGACTGGGTATCCATAGGAATGTCACAGGATGGCCTGCATCCTGAAGTGTGGATGTTAACCCTCGTATTCGGAGGATGAGGTCCTTATTTTCCCCTGATCCAAATGCGATCCCGTCGAGAGCAGACCTGGAATTGCAGCAGACAAGCAAGGGGCAGAAACCATCTGCTTCTTCCTCAGCGAGAAGGGCAGCAAGGAGGGCTATTAGTTCAGCCTGAGTGGAGGATGCCCCATCAGAAACTCTGAGAGACAGTTTGATAGGCTCAGGGGCATCAGGACGGGAGATGTAGACACCAGCCCCGGCCCTACCTGTAGCGGGGTCAACAGAACCATCAGTGTAGTGGACAACCCTACCTGGGGACCAGTGGGTGATCCTGGAGAGGTGGTATTTGCAGAGAATAACAGGGTTCACTTGGGATTTCGGGAGCGTTCCACCGAGGGCAATCACTTCAGGTTGGAAATCCAGCCAGGGAGAAGGAGACGAACCAACAGCAGGGGTGACAACAATATCAGGCAGGAGGTCGTGTTCCTGAAGGGCTCGGATGAGTGACCCTCGCCACTGTCTTCTAGATGGAGGACGGCCTCGGACAGCAGGAGTCAAGTTGGCTTGAACATAGTTGCCCCGAGGATCCCGTAGAATGGAAACGGCAGTTTTTAGGTAAAACTCCTGGACACGATTCTGTAAGGGGGAAAGACCAAGTTCGGTATATAGAGAAGTAGAGCGTGTCCACTGAGGAGCCCCACAGATGATACGAGCAGCTTTCCTCTGGATAACTTCGAGACGATTGACAGCAGTCCGACTAATGTTGACGAGGGCAGGGGCGGCGTAGTCGACACAGGAACGGACAAAGGACTTGTACATGGTGAGAAGTACAGGGATAGTGGCACCAAGGGAACCCCTGCACATGGTAGAGAGGGGAGCGAGACGCCGAAAGCATATGTCTCGAAGATAGCGGACTTCAGGGATCTGACAACGTGTGCGAGTTACATACACACCCAGGTATTTTGTCTCATTAACCCAGTCCAAGGGCATTCCTGATAAGAGAAGGGGTGGAGGTACAACACGACCGTGCCACATGGCTTTTGTTTTCGCAGTTGAAAGAAGGAAACCAAGTGAATCACACTCTCTGGAGACCAGATCAAGACTAATATATATATATATATATATATATATATATATATATATATATATATATATATATATATATATATATATATATATATATATATATATATATATATATATATATATATATATATATATATATATATATATATATATATATATATATATATATATATATATATATATATATATATATATATATATATATATATATATATATATATATATATATATATATATATATATATATATATATATATATATATATATATATATATATATATATATATATATATATATATATATTTTTTTTCATTCAGCATTAACCCATTCATGGAAATTAAACTTAAATTTTAATTCTCCTAGTTTTCTAAAGCTTCCAATTATCTGCAATCGTTTGAATATCTAACTGATCAGTTATGTCGTTTTCACAAGCTGTGAGGCTCCAGTGGTTCCCAAACTGGGGGCCATGGCCCCCCAGCAAAATTTAGTGGGCCATAAGCTGAGGCTATGTACACATAAAAATCCCAAGCCCCACCACACTAGAACAGCCAGTCAGCAGCTGAGCCAGCCAGAGATATGGATTGGGAGAGGGGGGCCATGGATAAGGATCATATATGAAAAGTGGGTAATGATCAGAAAAAGTTTGGGAACCACTGTGTGAGCCAAAGATTATGCAACCGTTTTCCTGAGATTCTGTTTCGCAGGGATGTTCTCAAACGCTTTAAAGCCTGCTAAAATACCTTTCACTTTTACATACTGAAGGTGGCGCTGTCAAGAATAGCCTGAGAACTTTTGCTACATGATAAATGATACCATGATG